TGATTCTTTCCTTTCTTCTTCCACATTCGGTGGAATGGTCCATAGGGTATTTCAACGCAGCGCGGGCGGGGAGGCTCCCCTACACCCGCGCTCTTCTCCGCGTGCCCGCCCCCACACCACCGCTCTCTGTATCCGCGTTTGTTCTTCTTAGTTCCGGGCAGCGCTCCCTTGAAATACCCTATTCGTTGATTGCTACATATCATCCAAAATAACACCTAGGTTCTATTAAGATAAGGCAAATGCTGACGATCAGCACGACAGCAAGTCAGCATCAGCGTCATCAAAAGAAGATCGCCAGAACTGTGATTGGGCACCTTCGTGCACAAATGGCCAACCGCAGTTCTGGAGATCTTCTTTTGTTGACGCTGATGCTGACTTGCTGTCGTGCTGATCGTCAGCATTTGCCTTATCTTGATAGAACCCGAGAGATCCGCAGACAGGCCAGCAACGGGTCGGAGGATACTCTGGGGCTCGGCTCGACCAGAAGACCGTACATCGTAAACACCTCGTTATGTCCCAGTGCGCAATGACTATATCGTAACGATAACGCTTCGATGTCGTAGTCGACAATGTATCGAAATAAGCACCAATTTTGTGTCGTTAACGTTCTGATTTCGATACACTGTCGACTACGATATCGAAGTGTTATCATTACTGTACGATATAGTCATTGCGCACTGGGGTCATCGCTAACCCCAGCTCCACGCAATAAGGTTTTAACTTGTTCTTCTATTCTAGTCGAGTGCAGCATCACAGGGGAAAGATTGCGAAATGTTGTAAAGCCTATTACGCAATACGTGGCCTCGCCTCAACCTTGGTTCCGCTGTAAACCGATGTTGCAGCAAGCGCGGGCGGAGTCACTTGAGATAACCGTGAAATAGCCGAAATGGCAGTAGAAATATCACGAAATAAAGCATACCGGTAAAGCTGAAATGCAAAAGAATGCGGGGAACAAGGCAACGGAACTCCTGCTGCAGTATGGTGACTTCCGTTTCTTTGTTCTCCGCATTCTTCTGCACTTCAGGTTTACCAAATGCTCCATGGACCGTACGCTACGTACCCAAATTAATTCCCCACTCGAACGCAAGCAGTTGGGACTAGGACTTACCCGAAGAAGGTACGTTGTAGACAGGAAAACTCCGTGGAAGCTTCAGAGTGGCACAATCGGACACCAGCGGACTACTAAAGCACCAGGCAGGAGCGACACCGTCTTGTGGACGCAGTGGGCGGCGCGCGAATGTCGTTATAGTCGGACCCGACAAGCCAAAAGTGATGCTTTCGAGAGCGGTCACCCCTCCTCGGACCAGCGGGGAAGCGGGACGTACGGGCGTTCTACAACAACCCTCCAACCGCCACACGAGGAGCTACAGCTATATAGCTGTATAGCAGTGCGGAGAACAAGTCGCAGAAAGCATTCCGGTAAAGCTGCAATGCAAAAGAATGCGGGGAAGAAGAAACCGGAAATCGCTGGAGCGGGGCGAGCGGTGCCGTGTGCAGGCGAGGGCGAGAGGCGAGCAGC